TCCGCGCCGCCCGCCGGCCCGCCGGTCCTCCCGCCCGCCCGCCCGGCCCTCGGCCGCCGCGCTCCGGGGATGGAGCGGGAGCTCGGGGGGCCGCCCGCCGAGCGGGAGGGGGAGCCGCAGTTCGGCGTTGCGGATGGTGGAGCTCTGCCCGAGGTCTGGTCTGCGGAGGAGAGTCAGGTGAAGAGAGAAGGGCTTTTCTTTTCTCTTCAATTTTCTTTTTCAAAGCTGCTTGTTTCCTGCTTCTTTCAAAACCGAAGTGGACAGCAATGTGCCGGGGGGACCCCCGCGCGAGTGTTTCGTTGTTGTTGTTCACTTGTGGGGCCTTGTGAAGGTTTTTGTTATTTTTATCCTCGTACAACGGTGAACTTTTCCTGCCGCCCGTTCCCTTCGTTTTAGCCCCTCTGCTCCTTGTGCTCAATGGGCTGTCCTTCTCTGACCATCATCAACTGCACGGTGTTCTTTTTTCTTTTTCTTTTAAAACTGTGTTTTCTTTGTGCTGCAAACAGTCTTAATATCCATTCAGCACTCTTCCCTCCCCCGCCTCCTTACCCCCCACACCCCTTGCACACAGTGAAACCTGGAGCCTCTTCGCTGGACTTTGCAGCCCCGGGAAAGAAATTTTTAAAAGTCTTTCTCCCCTCCCTTCTCCCTTTCTTGGAGAGTGTGTCTCTCTGTGTGTGTGTGTGTGTGTGTGTGTGTGTGTGTGTGTGTGTGTGTGTGTGTGATTTAAACCGGATGCAGGGCGTCCGTGGTACTTGGGTGAGTAGTTACTGACAGTGCTTTATCCTTCGGGTGGGGATGGGAGGGGGAGCAGGGAGGCTCCATTGCACTTTGACGAGCCTCCTCCTCCACCGTGGAGTGTCCACAGTGTTCATTGTGGTTACAAGACTGTGTGTAGGATAAACAGGGAAAGGACATGAGGAAGCTTTGTGAGAACTCGGGTTGCAGTGTTACTTGTGACAGTGAAGGCACTTTAAAGAGGCTTTTTCCCTCCCTCTTCATCTTCTCTGTTCCTGTTGCTTTGAGAGTTGAAATTGAAGTCAAGTTGTTCATAAAGAATGTATGAAGCTTCTCAACTTGAAACGTGTGTATATTTCACTTTCTTTATGGTTGTTGAGATCTAGGCATGTGTGCACTACTCAACATAGTCTTTATTTTGGCTTTCTTTGGACAGTGACTTATGTCTGGTGAGGGGAGAGAACTTTCTCCTTTTTAAGTCTCTAAAAATATCTATTTTCCTGTGTAGATTTGAATACTTATCAGTCCTCAAATAGTAGGGCTCTTGGTTGGAGGTAACTGTTTTCCAGATCCTGTAAATTTGTTCATTTTTCAGCCTAACGTTTAATGAACAGATTATCAGTAAAAAGTTTTGATAATGAATGTGTGCTAAAGCATTTATAATATTACATTTGCACATATTGAAGTTTACAATCTGGAATTTTAAAATCTTTATTTAAATAGTCTTCTTCCTAACAGTAAACATATATTGATTTACCTGACAGAGCAGCCTGTGAATAATGTGACAGTTTTAATTATTCTTGAGATTTTCAATGAGCAGGTTGGGTAATTGTAATGCTGTTAAGAATAATACTTTGTAAAATAAGAGTTTTGTTTTTTTTTAAAGAAAAACTTTCCCCCTGTCAATTCATTTCCATGTGATTGCTATTTTAAATGAAGGTGATACTTTGTTCTGAAGTCTTTCTCAGAGCACTCAAATTCCTTCATATTTACTCACCCCCTCCCCCAGTCTAGATTCCATGCAAGTCTCTAATACTAACTTGTATTTTTTTTTTCTGTTCAGATGAGTGTCAAATGCCTGAACACTTTTGGATGGTGAAGCTCCTGGTTCCCATAAATTCTCTGAAGTTAATAGTTTTGCTGTCTAGAGACAGCTTAGACCTTATGCTATTTACATAATAGGTTTTCAGCTGAGTAGCTTATATGTTATAATGTTATGGTTTAATATTTTTACTTGCAGTGTCCAAGGACTTTTTTTGAGGCATTTTACTTTTTATAATTATCTCAGATTCAGTAATTCAGACTTCTACTCATCAGTTGATTTGAGAGCAGGGCTTAACTGGAATCCTATCATCTATTTTTGAAAACACATATGTGATACAAAAGTTGCTTTTAGAGATTCTTTGGGCTCAAGCATGTCAACATTATTCATATGGATTGAGAAAATAATAACCAGAAATACTATCAAGTGATGCATTTTTAAGTTTAACCCAAGGGTAAATACTTAGCACTTCGTTTATTCTTTCTGTGATATTTTTCCTCGGAGAGGACTGTTTTGTGTATTGGTATTCTTCTGTGTTCTCAGTTTTTAGAGTAATAGAGATCTCTGAAACTGAGTGACCACACTTTTACACTAAAAGTATTAAATAGAAGTCATTTCTAGCTTATTTTAGTAGCTGAATATCTGTGATTCATTATATGTCATAATACCTAGTTTAATCTTTTTAGGTTGTTTTGCCAATGGGTTGCATTAAACTGTATAGAGATATTTTTGTAGTACATTTACATGTACTAGTATAATATAGTAAACTAAAGCACATTACTGAAATTCATCATTCCATAATTTTTTCATTATATGGGATAGTTATGCCTAATTTAAAAAACAATATTTCTCTAGTATTCAAGTCTTCTTATATTCTTTGTAGATACTCAAAAGTTTTATAGTTTATAAGTTTCATATATGTTAACCCTAAAGAAAAAATATTTTTTATCCTAAAGTTAATGTGGTATTTTTTTATCATTGAGAATTAAAATGAATGAATCATAAATCAAGATGGATATAATGTACTATTTCAGTGACAGGTGTGTGTTACTTTTTGGTAACGTTTTCTTATTCTTGAGAAAGTTGATTTGTGTGTGCTTTCCTCTAATTTGAAAAACCAGTAAGTAGGTGGAATATGATTTTGTTTTTCAGAATTTATGAAGAGTGTGTATATGTGTGTGTTTAAAAGGGTGGATATAGCATCAGATGTATGGGAAGAAATAAAAAAAACCCCAACTTTTCTTAACAGCGTAATAGGAATGTTACTTTGTTCTTGGTAGTATAGTGAGACTTTGTTATAAAAAATGAGAATACCAAGTAAACCTTTAAATTATGAAGACTCTGTTGTTTTTTTGTTTTTGTTTTTATGTTGAACATTAGCCTAAAAATCTACTTTCAGTTACTTTAAAAATAATTTCCCCAATGTAACCATTTGCCTTCAACTCTTTGGTATAAATTTCCACTGGCCATCAAAAGCCAGATTTAAATTCCTTTCTGTTCACAGGTGCATAGTGTTCCCACATTTTGGAAGTCCCAGATTAAGTGGATTTGACTAATTCTAGCTTGTTAGGGACAGATGGCTGTGTTAAACAGGTGTCACTTTCATTTCTAGTGCATTGTGTTGAGACTTCCAGTGGTTCACAAAAGAATTGTCTAAAGCAGGTGGCATCCTTTGCTTTTGTCCTTAGTAAAATATACTTTTGGAGTTATTTTCCTAGGAAAAGTTTTTTTGTGTTGTTTTTTTTTTTAAGTAAAAGTTTTGAACTATTCATATTCAGGTTTATAATTTAACACCTTTTATTTCTGAATATTACTCTGTTTTCAGTCTGTGTAAGTTGCAGATCCTTTCACAAAACACTTAAAAATGGTTATATTGTAATGGAAAATTCCCTTTAAATCCAGAAAAAATACTCAGGAGCACTTTATACAATAAGTCAAATTTATCTGAAGCAAGAGGCTAAGGCAGATTTGAATAAAGTAAAATTTGGTTAACATGACAAGTTAACTTTTGCCATCCCATCCATAAAGAATTTTTTTGATAGCATTATTTTAATTTGAATGATAAATGTTGGAAACCAGTGTTGTTTTTGTTGCTGCATTATTTTAAAACTAAAACATTTTCCTCACTTACTTTAATTGTTACTATAAACTTTTTAGTGCTCTTTTTAAATGAAAATTGTTTTTAAGCATTATGTTTAAAAATATGTACTGGAGTAAATAAAACTATCAACTTACTGATTTCTAAGGTTCATTTTTACTCAGATTCTATCCTTTTTTTTTTTTTTTTTGGTGGGAATTTTATACATATTATAACAGATGCACCAGAGGGTGCTGTGCTGTTTGTAACATGAAATTATTATCAGTAAGAATGTGAACTGTTTGGAACTTTTGTTTAAAGGAAAATTTGTAATTATATGTGCATTTAAGCATTTGATGGCCTTATTTCTATGGAATTTAAATTTAATATACTGTCTTAATTGGCAGTTTTATATCAAAGCCTATCTTTCTCTGTACTAATTTATGTTAGCGCAACAGAACAATATCAAGACTGATATCTTTGGCATATCTGAATGTCAGCATTAGTCCTATAGGCATGTATGTTGATCATCATCTTATGCAGGTATTTCAGTCTCCATCTGAAAATTTTCGTTTCACTTGAGAATCATACTATTTAGTCAGTGTAGCTTTTGTACTATGTAAATTTGGTATTATTGGCACATATGGTACATTCTTAAAACATTTTTATATGACATGATTAGTAATACGCTTTTTATGGCATAATATAAAAAAGCTACCTCAGCCAGCTGGTGTGGTTCAGTGGTTGAGTGTTGACCTATGAACCAGGAAGTCTCTGTTTGATTCCCAGTCAGGACATACGCTCAGGTTGCGGGCTCGATGCCTTGTATGGCATGTGCAGGAGGCAGCAACCAATGATTATATCTCATTGCTGATGTTTCTATCTCTCTGCTTATCCCTTCCTCTCTGAAATCAGTAAAAATAAAAAATAAAAAAACTACCTCAAAAGTATAAATGACAATAATATTTATGAGGTTAATTAAATCAATAATAATAATACTATTAAAAATTGTCTGGAGAATTCAGGCCCACTTCATGCTGTTGAAGTAGTCTGGTTTGAATATTTAATTGGGCTTTATTATCTGAAAAGTTTTAGATTCCCTGCCTTACTGTTTATCATATAATTCCAAACTGGAAATGATCTATCTTAATATTTGTTCATTGAGAGCTTTTTTAGGAGAATTAATTCAATTTAATCTCTTGGGCTCTGGTTGCATCATTGGTTTTCTTTTCTCAGCAGGGATATATGCTAAAAGATATATAACTGAAATAGTAGTAGTCAGTATCTTCCTTAAGTAGCTTAGAAAATGATGGTTACATCATATAAACTTTTTTCCTCCAGATAATGGACTTACCTATACTGTTAATCTCATTTAACTACAATCAGCAAAATATGATATTTTATTGAGGTACCACTATCAGGAATAGTATTTCATATGTTGGAATGCCACAGAGAATCCAAAACATGTAGAGGTAATAACATTTTAAATACTAGTCTTATTAAAATAACTTAGACATTTGTCTTTTAAAATGTTGTCCTAGCCCTAACCGGTTTGGCTCAGTGGACAGAGCGTCGGCCTGCGGACTCAAGGGTCCCAGGTTCGACTCCGATCAAGGGCATGTACCTTGGTTGCGGGCACATATCCAGTGGGGAGTGTGCAGGAGGCAGCTGATCGATGGTTCTCTCTCATCGATGTTTCTAACTCTCTATCTCTCTCCCTTCCTCTCTGTAAAATATCAGTAAGATATATTTTTAAAAAATGTGGTCCTATTTACCATACAGTTTATGCTGTTATGATTTTTAAAGTATATTATATGACATTGTTTCAAAACTTTTATATTTGAAGTATTATATTTCACATCAAAGTATAAGATGTACTTTAATGAAAACAAATCAGTTAAAATTTAAATATATTCAGAGTATCAAATAGGTATATGTTTTGTTCTTTAACCCTTTTCGGTCCAACGTGGAGGCTGACTCGACAAACTAGGCGCTAGGAGCAGGTCCAACGTCGAGGCTGAGGTCAACACCGCAAACCGGTTCAACATTCAATCCCGTCAGTTAATTTGGACCAGACTGTTTGAATTCCAAAAATAAAATTGGACCGCAAAGGGTTAATATGTTCTTTTTAAATTGAATTTAGATAGACAGAGAGAGAGAGAGAGAGAGAGAGAGAGAGAGAGAGAGAGAGAGAGAAAGAGAGAGAGAGAAAGAGAAAGGGAAGCATCGATTTCTTTGTTCCACTTAGTTATGCATTCATTGGCTGCTTCTTATATGTGCCCTGACCAGAGATGAACCTGCAACCTTGGTGTGTTGGGACTGTGCTCAACCAACTAAGCTACCACGCCAGGACCTGTGTTTTGTTTTGTTTAAGTAGATCAAAGGAAGTATACCGGTTAAGAACACAGGCTTTGGAGTCAGATTTCAGTTAATCTTATTAGCAGTGGGACCTTGGACAGGTTATTTACCTTTACCTAGACTCAGTTTTCTCATCTGAAAAATAGGGTCAATCTTACCTGCATTATAGGCTCTGTGAAGATTAAAGGGAATGATTTATGTGATGTGCTTTGCTCAGTATTTGACACAGAATACATGCTCAATTCTTATTATTAGGGACTACTAGAAGATACGCATTCTAATCTTTTAGCCATCTAAGAATCCTTTTAATATGCACTTGACCACCTCCTTCCCAATGGGCTTTAAGTTTCGAAAGACTTGGCCCACTAATATACATTAATTGAATAATTCTTCCTTCCTCACCACTTTATAAAATAAACACACAAAGCTACCAACCACAGGATTGGATTACCTTTTGATAATCAGTCTTATTATTTCACTGAATTAATAGGATACTAGTTTTAAGTGATATTTTAGTTTTACACTGCAGCCTTGTTTTAATGGATTTCTTTTACTATATTTGGATAATTCTCCTGGTTCAGGTATTTTAGACTGAGGACTAATGATGCAGCATTTAATAAACTCTTACACTTGTCATTTCATTATCCAGTATATATTTTCCTTTTCATATTTGTTATACATGAATACATTTGAAAACATTTTGAACCTTATTTATAAGCTTTATACAAAACACAGTCATTAATATAAAAGAATGGCAATAGTTGTTGAATTCATCAAGAAATTACTCTATAATTTTATAATGCACTGCTTACAATTATTTTGCAAAGGGTAGCAATAAGTAATTTCGGAAGAATTTGCCAGCCCTAACTTTGAGATATAGTAACGTTGGAACATTATGCAATAAAACATATAATATTAAATTGTGGAGGAGAAATGTCAACTTCAGCTCCATTTCTTTGACAAGATGTTTAAATAAACATTGTAGTTGGCTGCTGTATATAAAGTTGGTATTTAGTAATTTACAATATATATTTTCTACACATTTGATTAAGAAAGGATTTTTTTCTTATTTTAATCTAAAATATCCCTAATGTTTTTCAAACTGGAAATGTCATTTATACATTTTAATTTAAAATTTACTTGAAACGGTGTGTCACCTTTGCTGAAGTACTGTATATTGTAGGCTTTTTGTCTGCCCCTCTCATCTTACCTGCTGCCTCCTCCCTAGTCCTATTTAGTGTTTATTATATGACTCCTTTTACATTATTTTTATAGATAATTAGCCTAACATATAAAGTAGGGAGACTCAGCTCAGCCATCTCATCTGCTTCCTTTCTCCAGTGAATTTGACACATATTTTTAAAGGAATATTTGGGAAAATGCTAGAAAATGTGACTTAGATGGTAAGGTTATTTATCATTCTTATCATTTCAATAATCTATTATCTTTTTTACAATTTCTGTACATTTGGCTACTCCCTTGAACAAAAAACATGTTACTGATCTACTAATGATGTGACTGAGTATGATTTTGCTTCAGAAAGGTTCCTTCCCTTCTCAGTTCTGGCTATGTTCTGGCCTCTAGATTAAATCTCTAGTCTAGTCCAAAAATACTGTGTTTGCACAATCACATATGCCTGCTTATTGCTGACTCTTACCTCCTGGACTCTTCTTTCTTGCCGGGGTCCAACCCCAGCAGGTCCAGGGGTTCCCAAAGGCGTAGACAGAGTCGGCGAAGAAGGAAGGATACGGAGACAGTGTTCAGTTGATAAGCAGCCTAGTCAGGATCTCCAGCCACGTTCTGGTCTGGATCTCCAGAGAGGTTCCGCTTCGGTTCTCCAGCCAGGTTCTGTGTCCATGTTCTCTTGCTAGGTTCTCCAGCCAGGTTCTCCAGCCAGGCTCAGTCACCAGGTTCTAGTCAGGTTCTCTTGCCAATTTCTGTAGTCAGGTTCAGTCCAGGATCTTTTGCCATGTTCTCTCCAGCGAAGTTCTTCTGTCTCTAGGTTCTGTGTAGGTTCTGTGTCTAGGTTCTGTGTGTAGGTTCTGTCTTCTAAGTTCTGTTGTCTTGTTACATCTGTATTTATACCAGTTGATTCCAATCCTATCAATCTCTATTCCAAAGGTTAGGGCATTTCTTATCTCCATTCCAGGGAGTAAAGATTATGTAGCTTAAGCATGATTGTTCATAGTTAAAGTGATTAATTACCCGCCTGGCACTTAGTTAAGAGGTTTTATTCCCTCCCTAACTTCAGGGGAAAATCCCTACCTGGGGAAACAACCTTTCTCAGAGACCTTGGTTAAAACACATAGTGGCAAGAAGGTGAGCAAACATATTAAGAACAGTATGCCATATATGCCAGGTCCCTTGAAACAGCAAGCATGGACCGGCTCCCGGCACTTTCTCACTACTTTTATTAGAAGCTGTAATATGCTGCAGCCAGTACTGCATGCCTGTGTTTTACAGTGCCTGGTCAAGACTGTCAGGTTCCTGGTGCTTCCTATTTAGGGAAAGGAAGCATTTTTTGCATAAGTTCAAGATGTCCTTCTCTTCTGCTATATCTCACCCCTTTTACCACTGTAATAGTGACTGAATCCAGAAAACCTAAGAATGAGGCAGCTGGTCAGAAAATACAAGTACATCAGTTGGAGAGGAAACATATTCAGAAGTCATGTGAAAGAGAGGAGAGAGAAGACAGAAAGAATGGTCTTTAAAAGTGCCAGCCAAAGGAGAGCAAAGGTGAGAAAAAAGGTTCTGTTCCGTGCTCACTCTGTCACTAACTAAAACCTTAGGCTAGCCACCTAAACCTTCTGGCTCTCAGTTTTTCCATCTGCAAAATGAAACAGTAGGGCTATGTGATCGCTAAAGCCCTTTTCAGCACTAACAGTCTAGGACTCTATGACAAGATTGGCTCTGGGAAAAGGTAAACAAGCCAATATCACTGAGCCGGAGGCTAGCATTTTGCTTGCCTATTGTTTCTTCTGATAAGAACAACAAAAGAAAACCCAGAGCCTCGGTCTAGTGTAATAGCCATACCTATGACAGTTGCAGCAGGTTCCTTCATGTCAGTGGCTCCCTTAGGGTGCTGTGGCTAGTGCCCTGTTGTCCTCACCCACATAGGAATTAGCTGAGGCTGACAGCTTGAGCTCCTGACCAGCAGCTCCTCTGTGTCTGTATGCCAGGCAAGTGTTTGACAGTTGGGGTTCCTGCCTGTTGCTCACTAATGAGAGATTTAAAACAGGATATCATTTCTCAAGTATGTGGATAGGCAATTTGACACACACACAGGGAGAGGGACTTGTTAGATCTCTCTCATCAGAAGCAATAAAAATTAATACAGGTTTCTGTGTATCTCATTTTTCCACATTCCTTCCCCAGTTATTAAAACCTTGACCTTTTCTTCCCTTCATGCGCTTCAGGTAGTTTTAGAAAGAACTTAAGTCCCGTCAAGAAGTCTGGGCGAGTTGTTAGCGTCTTGGGAGTACTAGTACTTTGAGACCCTGCTCTGGGAAGCAGTGCCATCTTTTATGTTTTTCATTGCTAATACTTATTGCTTGCCTTTTTTCCTGAATATTATTTATAGTTGTAAAACATTCTTTTTATTCAGGTTTGGTAGCAGAAAATTATGTCTCTTGGTTAAGAATCATGCATTTCTGTAAAATTTTGCACTATTGTTAATTTACCAAGTTCACTTATCCGGATTTTTAAGCATTGCAGACTATGAAAGGGAGCATTTTTGCATTAGTTCAAGATGTCTTCTGTTCTGCTATATCTCATCTCTTACAATCTAATGAGGAGTGTATGAAAGTTGAGTAGATTGTAATTATTGTTTTTTAAATTATTTTTTATAATTATGTGTATTGATTAATGTAAAGATATTCAAGAGTCTGAACTACATTCATATTCGAATGCTCGATAGCATCTATATATTTCAATACAATAACTGGCATCCTTAAAAATGTATCTGGCCCTCTTCAGTGTCAATCAGCATAGTTTATCTTAATGTGCAAACCCATTTTACAAATGCTTTGCTTTTTTCAATGAAGTTTCTTCCATGCCTTAGTTGGGATCAGTGTTGAGAGAGACTGCTGGAGAGAGACAGGAATAAGTAGATACATTTAGAAATCATATCCTGTTTCCATTGTTCAATACCAGTGCATTGCATATTCTACCCAGTTCTTTTTATTTTATTTTTTTAATTTTAACTGTGACATTTTGCGGGGGAGATAGCGATTGAGGTGGGGAAGGGGGAAACAGAAGTGACTAAGGCAATCGGAGTCTTCCAGATCATTTTCCTTTCCTGCTGTAGTATTGTGCATAGTACGTATACTTTGGGGAGGGAGAATAGGCATCTTTTTACTTTATATTTGTGATACTTTTCTCCTAAAAACTGACTGTATCTGTATGTCTATCCTTAGTACATTAGTGGATGTGCAATAGTATCCTTCTAAGGAGTCTATATTGTGGTTTAGTCATGCACAGCTTTATAAGGTAGGAATAAAAGAAAGAAGTACTGAGGAAATCTAGTTTGTGTGCCAGATACAGAACTAATGCCTTAAATCCAACCGTCTACATTTTCTTTAGGTGGATTGTTTTGTGGATATATATTTATTTTTGTTTTACAAAAGAATCTACGTTTTTCCCCTGTTCCTGCTTAGGCTGACATTTAAAAGAACCAGAGAGTATATAATCTGTCACATTAGGCTTTCACTGATTGGCATCTGATTCTATCTGATGACAGTCTTGGAGATAAGTTTTAATGAAGTGTCACTGTAAGGATCATTAATAAAAAACACATGGAAAGATACATTGTTAGTGACCTGAAAATCACCTTTACCATTTTAATTTACAGTATGTATTTTGATGTGCCACAAGGAATACCTAACATGAAAAATTAAAATACAGACATCAGCTAAAGTTAGACTCTGTATTGTACAATGTGATTATATTGTATGCTTTAAAGGACATTTTAAAACATTTTGTTTAAAAAGTCACTTTATATTATTAGGATGTACTTACATTAAGAAAAATGGAATTTATCCTAGATATTATGTTGTGTGTGTGTGTGTGTGTGTGTGTGTGTGTGTGTGTGTAGACCTTTAGAAAATAATTTTAATGTACATTGTGCTTGGTGCTTTAGAACGTCTATCCATACCATTTTGTTTTTGTATTATGCATATCTTATAACAGTATTAGAAACCACTCCAGTGATATTTTCTTGAGGCAAAGAACATTAAGGAAACGTTTGACTTCAGTTCTTTGATTGATCTTTGTGTGATATGGGGAACAATTTTTATAGTGCCTCACATTATATGATAATTTTTAGAGGCTACTTTTAGTTAATAGATGCTATGAATACTAAAGTTGAATTATAGTTAAAGATAAAAATGGTAATTTATTCGTATGATAGTAGTATAAGATATTGTATTGCTGGATCAACATTTGATCTGTTCATTTATTTTTAGAAGTCTGTCAAGTTTTGAAATTTAAAGCCTTTTAAATATGTTGAATGAGTAGAGTTGTATAATACATATGGATTTATGTTTGAGCAAAGGTTTGAGAACTATATGGCTTGGAAATGAGGTGGGATTTTATTTTTAAAATTGGAAGGGAGTGTATTTTAATATTTTGATTGGGTTAGACTTGATCATTTATTGGTGTAAATGACCATGGACTGAAGATGTTAATAAAAGTAATTTTTGAGAGGAAGTCATTGTTAGTGATCCTGATGTTTCATTTACCTCCAGCCCTGCTGCCCTTGGTAAACTCGAAAGTAAAAGCTTATTTCTTGGGTAATGTAAGCCTCTCTATTTTATTGTGTTTTTGTTAATTTACATTGCTGTCAGGAATTTCCCAAATCCTACAGTACTGCCTTGTGTGATGTGTTATGTGTGAGCTTTGGAAATTCCAGTTTATCTATTGATTTACAAACCTTGGAAAGAATGCCAGTAAGTAACATACCATACCCAGAATAGCACCTTACTTAATTTGAAGGAATTGGGTAAGAATTAGGGTAAATCTGGGCAGGAACGTAGTTGGATAAACTAGAGTATGAACAATGATTAAGTACAATTTAGAGTAAAATTTCATTTTAGATGCTATATGTATTAGAAACCCAGTTTGCCATATTCAGCATATTACCACAAATACTGTTGATAATGTTATTTCTAATATTTGATTCAAAATCATTCTAGCAGAGGCCTAAGAGATAATTGGATTTATTAGTCTATAAGCTTATAGTTTTACATCATTGTCCTTTGGCATTTACTTTTGAATGAGAATGAAAAGATTTATATCAATGTGTCTTCAGTGACAATACTACTTTGGTTAATTTAGAAATCCTGAAGTGATTGTGATTTTTTTAAATTGAATTTTAAGGAGCATTTTGAAAAGGAAGAGAAATGTGGTACTGGATACAAAATACATATTCCCAACTATGTGTGGACTTTAGAAGACTACAAAATGACAGACATGATATTTGTGAATCAATAAATATAAAAAAAGAAGGGTAGAAAGAGATATTGAAAATGTAGTTAGATGATATTAGTGGAGAGTTTAGAAATTAAGATAAAAATAAGTTAAGATGGATAAGTGAAAGTATAAATGGTGAACTAATTAGTTGGAAGAATAGTCTTTTTTTGTTTTTTCTTGCCTTACTGAGATATTAACTAATAGCTGAGGAATAGATTGTACTTAAGTTTCTTTATGGGCACCATTTGTTTTTATATTTGTTGCAAGTATAATAAATCTCTGGAACCTTTGACTATTATATGGAGCTTCACTATTAATGTTGTGTTTAGAAGAGTATTAGATTGAGATATTACATCAGAGTTTTCTTGTAATTATTTTATCATTACAAAGCTATACAATATGTTAGTATGCAAAATATACATAATTAATATTTTCACTTGAGATATCTGATTATTATATCTGATATCTAAAGCAGTTTACATTTGGGAAGCCAATGTATACCGCAAAACTGTACCGTAAATGTACATATTCTTAAGACTGTCTTATTTTGGAACTTTTATAACTTACACTGACATAGAGAGAATAGCATAATGAATCCCCATGTGCTCATCACACATTTAACAATTAGTACCTTCTATTCCTAGGTCTGTATAATTTGAGGTATTTGTTTATTGAAATAAACTTAAATCTTTTATCCTATGTTACTCTGAAACAGTGTTAATCTAATTTTAAGAATAGACTCAATGTGGACTTGAAACAATGCTTACATTATTTTTAAGATGCAATATTTAAGTGTGACTGGTCATGTTTCTTCTCAGCACAGCATTTATTTAAATCAGGAAGTTTGTTCTCAGTTGTTGGTAGAGTCTTTTGTTTAGTAACTCTAGGTTCTTCTACTTGAAATCTGACCTATCATTAAAATGGGAGCAAGCTCAAGGACAGCAGCCCCTGTTTGCAGGGCACAGGAAAACAACTGAGATACACTTCTCAGAGTTGAAATGATGCTAATCTTTTGTATGCCATTCTTTTAATTTGCCTGTGGGTAGATTTGGGTAAACTGGTAAGAGCCATTTTGTAAGTGAAGAGAACCAACTATCTTCTGGAATATTCCCTTCAAAGTTAGTTACTCAGTTACTGGGACATAATAGAAGAGAGTAAAGGAAGTGACATTGATTACTAAGAGCTCATGTAGTGATAACATGTAACACCATTCAAAGCAGTTTAATATTTTCTGATTCACCACCTTCAGGGAATGAAGAAGTTTTCTT